TCGAATAAATTAGAAATGCTTAATCAATATTGCAAATCACCTTATGTCAAACACAATAATGGCTACCCAATTGATATTGTAAAATCACTTTTCATTATTTTATGCGTATCTAGATAAATCAATTATGTTCCAGCAATAAAATACATATACATACAAAAAAAAAAACAATCCACTGAAGTAATTTTCAACTACAATTAAAATAATGACTAGTTAAAATAGAATTTCAAATTTATATCTTGATTTTGAGTTTTCAATTTTATTACCCACTATTTTAACCATAGACTATATTACAATATGTTGGTTTTAATGGTGTAGATAATTTTAATATAATTTTATTATATTTTCATTATTTTTTAATTTAAGTGAAATTTATGTCAAAAAAATAGAAAAGATTTTGATTTATCACAGGCTGATTTCAAATAATCGTAAATAACAATATTTAGAGACTATGATTTATTCGATTTTTGAAATTAAAGGGAAATTTTTTTTAAGTTCATAAAACAATTAGAAAGTAATCTTTAAAATGAAAGTTTTCATTCTAATACACTCACATATATATATATTGTTTGTATTATTGTGCATTAAATTTAAGTGTTTCATACTTATATAATCACCTTGCATTGAAATTATAATATTTTGCATAAACTGACCTGTAAGTACTCTATATAATGTAGTAGATTTTAAATGTAATCAAATGAAAAGTAACTGGTTAAAAACTATTGATAAAAGATGACAACTTAAATTCACTTTTATTTTAAATTACATTAATTATATCAAATAATTATAAAATTATTTATTTTTTGCATAAGTTGAATAAGTTTGTATATATCATTATATAACTATATTAAAAATTTTAAAAATTTTTTAATTAATTCCAAATATTTAAAATTAAATAAACATTAATATTGTTTTGGAACTTTAATTCCAGTACAATTAAGATTTATTTATTGCAAAACGAAACGCAACGATAACATAGAAGTCAACTATTGTTAAAGAACGTCAAGCCAAACATAATATGAACAAGTAGCAAAATGCAACTAGCATAGAACTTTTTGGGATACAACATTTTACTGATGGACTACCTTTATTTATTTTAAAATTTAAAAATAATTTAAAATAATGTAATTATTTTGTTGGAAAATATTTATCACATTATCGCATTAAAACTGAAATGAGAAAAAAAAAAACAAAAATTCATTATTGAATGAATTCTCTTCATTTCTGAAAGAAAAACATAGAGGGCTTTTATATTTAAATTTATTTAATAATTTTATATAGGGCGCTGCTATTATTTTTTCTAATTGCTAAAACTTAGGTATAATTTCAAGAATTATTTTATTTTAAATCACGTTATAATTTTAAGCATATACATTAATAATATAATAAGTATTCAAGTTGACCAAATTTTTGGACTTTCAACTCGGTTTCCTATTTGCTTGTACCAATTATAAATGGCACAAATTCAAAAGGATATCCTGCTGTAATTCCAATGTTTTCTTCTAGTCATCACTTTTTTTAAGGTGTAGTACCACAATATCGAATGCGTGAACAAATTCAAAGAAACATTTCGTGGCACATTTAGATTTAATAAAGAAATTCCAAGATTGTTCAACTGAATATATAATAATTTTCTGAAAATTTTGGGTTACCCACAGTCACAAAACACAAAAAAAGAAAACAATTTATTTTATTATGTCTATATACAACATAAAACTGAAGAAAAAAAAAATTAATGAAATTTAAAATTAAGAAAAATTTTTTTTTCTTTTTTTAATTTTTATTTTTCGTACACATGCCACCATTGGTAATGAAAATTTTGGTTTTCTTTTTTGTGATTTCTATGATGCACATGCCACATGGTATTTTATTTTTTGTCTATAATTGGTCTACGAAAAGAAGATATGAAAAAAAAAGCTAGATAACGTAAAATTAAACCGTGAAAAAGAAAAACTGTATCTCGCGTGCGCTTCTCCAAATTAAACCCGAAAAAAAAACACAATGATACGAGTATTGCAAATTGCGTAATTTTCTTATGCTTTTTATGCTTGTTTTTTTTTTTTTTGTTTTTTGTATTTTCATCATATCACCATTTTTAATGAGATTATTATATATAGTTTATTTCACTGTTATATTTAATAAAATTATTTATGTTGCGTGAAATTATAAAATTTATTTATTAATAATAACAAAAAAAACTTTATGTTATATGAGTTATACTTACATTTAATATTATGTATGTAATCAGTATTTCTCAAAATAAAGCATTATTATGGCCCATATAGTCATTAATATACTAAAATAATTATTAGGGTATATATGTTTGAGGAAAATAAAATTTATTAGCTTGCAAATGTGTTTGTGTATAAGTAATATAATTAATTGTATTGGTGTATTTATCAGTAAAGTCACTACATATATAGTAATTAATTTAATTATTTGGTTTTGAATTTTATGTTAAATTATTATAAATTAGGTAGTTTTTCTGGTTTAATTTTATTATGGATATAATGACAAGCATTTAGGTATAATTAGAAAAAATTTGTATAACAATCCACTATATATCGAATATCTATTTACAATGTACTTTTTACGTAATTAGTTCCGATATGAGGAAATTTTCTGAGAGACCGAGATTCTTTGTTGATTTTTGAAATCGAAAGAACTTATTATCGACTGAACGTCGACACTTTCAAAAATAAAGTAAATAAATTTTGTATACATTTTAGAAAACATGTGATACGCAATATCGAATAATTCTTCTCACTTAAAAATTACATTATATACAAATATTATGATAGTTAATCACTTTCTTCTCACTTTTCAAGTAAAATAGCGAGATAAACAATCAGGCCCTTATTCTCCAGACAATTCTTTCACTTGTTTAAAGTCATTCCGGCTCTGAAATTTTTCTCATATATACGAACAACTTCTTTTGTAATATTGATTTTAGATAAAACAATTTCATACAGTTTCAAAAACACTGGCTTACATAATTTAACTTTAATTTGAGAATAAAATTTCTTTCAAAATGTTAATTTATTAAAATTACGCAAGAAAATATGAGATGATTTTTCAGTGTATACACAATAAAAATTTTCACTTATAATTTTTATTAATTTTCTGGTCATTATTTATTAAAATTCTGTTGAATTATAATTATTTAGTATATACATAATTGCAATTTTACAATGAAAAATAAATATCAAAATATAATTATAATCAATTTAATTCAACGAAATTAAATTTCACGCGAATAAAAGAGGAAATTTTTGATTTTATTCTGATTAAATAGAGAAGGTAGAAAACAAAGAAGATTGGAAAATAAGAAAATAATTTCAAATGATCGCGTTCATGGTTTATAATGCAAGTTAATGGTTTCATCTTTTGCATTATAAGTAAAAATAATATTTATTTGATTTTAAATTTTATGATATTCTTATGCTTAAAATTTCTGAGACAATTCTTATTTAGGGCCAACATTTTGAAATTCTAAAACTCTAGTGCTCTTATCAGCATTTTTAAATGGACATATGGAAGTTATTTGCAACAATATTTTAATTAAACTATTGTTAAAGTTATTCGAAAAACAATTTAATATACGCATGCATATTGTATAAACAGAGATGTTTGCGATAATGAAATCTACGTGTATGGCACGTTATATTATGTAGGTGGTAGGTCAATAAAAATATCTTTGACGTGTGAATAAAACATCGTATCAGCACATTTAAACATTATTTTATATTTTAGATTTTTAAATAAATTTGGAAATATTTTGAACTATATAATGACTATTCAATAAATATAAGAAGTAAAAATTACGATATTTAATGTGATAGCTAGTGAACACCTTTTGTTAATAAAATAAATTTTAAATTTTAAATTGTTCCTACGCTTGTAAATAAAATTTTTGGTAGGTAACCTACACAAACCCTTTCATTTATAATTTTTGTAAATCTATATTGAATATATTTTTATAATATATCTTACTCTACAAGTATTAAGATTTTATATGTAGGTACATAAAACAAACATACATACTTACATATATAGAGTGTTTCAGTAATCAATGTCTTAAAATATTATTATCGTTTGGGGTCGTCAAAATTTTGGTTCAGTTTTCAAATATCAACAGAATTTCCGAGATACTGGAATTTTAATAAATTTTCACAAAATTCATAGTTGTCCAAGTTATTTTTGCTTACCTAACCGAAAAAGATAATGGTTTATAGTAAGCAATTTTTGAAAGGGGTCTGGGGGTCCCAAGTATTCGAACTTTTTGAAAAATTTCAATATTTTTCATTTTGTTGTTCATGCTAAGGGACTTTTTAATACTGAATCACCCTATATAAATAAAAATATATTTCAATTTTCTTATTTATTTACCAATTTTTTATTATTCACATACAAACATGTATACATACCTTTATGATGATGATTATTTTTTTCTTTTGTATAATATTGATCTGATGAAAAAATGGTCAATTTTGAGATCAAACAAATAATTTTATTATCTTTCTTTTCTCAACGGAAATCTTAAGGTCAAATTGTGAAAGATTTTTAATTTCATAAATCAATTGATAATGAATGATAGTTAAATGAATAAGAAATATCTGGCATATTTTTGTCTACTACAGATATGTTAATATGTATATGTATGTAGGTATATATGTATGTATATTATGATAATGATATGATTTGAAATATTTACTAATTTTTTATATTATCTTTTAATAGGTCTAGGTTGAAAAGTAGCAAAACTAAATTGCCTTTATGTATATATATATATATATATATGCACATATGTACATATGTAGGTATTATGTTGTCCGTATAAATGAAATAAATGAAAACTATCGGATTAAGTGAAAGGCAATTTAGACAAAAATACAATTTTTTTATACTTATATGTAGTTACTGTCATTAAACGATAGGTGGTGTACTGTTTACAATATCTATTTATTTATGTACTCTACATAATACAACCAGAAAGAAATACCGTTAAATGCAATTTATTCCAGATGTACATACATATGTAATATAAAAAAAACGTCAATTACTAATTTCCACTTTGTTTTCTTGATTGTTGGGAATATCAAGGAAAAAAGACACGATTTTCAATATTTCTGTCCAAATCCAAATGAAAGGAACAATTTTATTTTTGCTCACCACATATGAATAATTTCATTCTAGAAAATATTCACAATTATATTAAATCCAAGTATTCCCAATGCTCAAAAAGACTAATATAATAGATGTAAGCTGTGGTTATTATGAATAATAAAAAAAAAAATTAATATGATATTTTAAAATTTAAAATCGCTAATTATTTTACATATGAATTGTAAATATTAAAGACAACTATCCTTTTTTTAAACATTTACACAATAAATTCATATAGCACCATCACTTATTTGTAATTTCATCTTTTTCTTTTACAGGTTAAAATTTTTGCCATGTCACCTACACCAGCTATATATGGCCATAACACAATTGTACAATCAAATCAATTTCAACAATCAACAGAAATTAATAATAATATTTTAAAAATATTTCAAGATGTTGCCTTAAATGAATTACGAGAAGATAAAAATACTCAGGAACAATCTTTAAAACAATTTAGAAATATTTTGCTTAATAATCCAGATATTCAAAATTTACGAATCGATGATAACTTTTTATTGAGATTTCTTCGTGTGAAAAAATATAATATATCATTATCAGAACAAGTACTTTTAAAATACTTAAATCTACGTAAAACTTATCCTCATATGTGTACACAATTAGATATTTTAGATGTTAATCAAAATTCAATAATATCAAATGGATATATATTTGTTTCACCGAATCGTGATAAATCTGGACGACGTATTGTTTTCGTTAATGCCAAATTATTTAATGCAAAGCTTTATTCAAGTGCTGATCAAGCAAAAGCTCATATACTTACATATGAAACACTTTTAGAAGATCCAATAAATCAAGTAATTGGATTAACACATATTGGTGATTTATCTGGTATTACAGCATCACTTGTATTAAATTGGAATCCAACGGAATTTGCAAGAATTTTACGTTGGGGTGAACAATCTTTACCAATTCGTCATAAAGCTGTTCATTTAGTTAATGTACCAATGCCTTTTAAATGGGTTCTTGATTTTGTTAAAGGACGTGTCAGCCAGAAAATGAAACAAAGATTTCATGCATATACAAATATAAAAGAGTTAAGGAAAAATGTTGATGTTGAATGTTTACCAAAGGAAATGGGTGGTATAATGCCAATGAAGGAAATGATTGAATTATGGAAAAAGGAATTATTAGCTCGTAGAGAATCTGTTATTGCTTTAGACAAAATGAGATTGACAAGTGATCGTGGTATTATAACAAGCCGAAATCGAAATAATGTAACTATAAATAATATAAATGATATAAAAAAAAATGAAAAAGTTGATCACAAACTTATCGGAAATTTCAAAAAATTAGAATTAGATTAAATATGAATATTATAATTAATAATATATTATGTACTTGATTTTAAAAAAATAATTTTTTTTTTGTAAATACTTTTCTAAATAAAATTGTAACAAAAAAAAAACTAATTATTTTAATGTTTTCTTAAATTCAATCGTTTTATTCTAACGATAAGATCAAGTTACTCAAATTTACAATTTTTAAATGATGAAATTCAACTTAAATAAACTTAAAATCATATTAAACTAAAATCGCATAAAGAACATAATTAAAAAATTCAAGATTTTTACACTTTAAAATTGCTGTTGGAATCATCCTCCTGAAATAGAACAGAAAAAAAATATTCGATTGTTTAAATAAGATAATCAATATATCACAATTCTCTTACATCAAATCCAAAGCAATCCTGTATTTTACCATTCTTTTTTTTCTTTGATGAACCAGTATTACTTATTGTATCATCTAGAATATGACAATATTAAATTAAATATAACAAATTATTCCATTTTAATTTACCTGAAAATTCTTCCTCATTCAAGTCGGGTGAGTGCCCTTTAGATTTGCGTATTTTGCTTCTCGGAATGTCTTGGCTCAAAAACAAACCTTCATTACTATCTTCATTATTATTCTCTTCTTCTTCATCGCATTGAATGACTTCTAAAACGACATATTCCTGATCTCCATTTCCCTCAACATATTCCGCAACATCTTCTTCTTTAATTTTAATACTTCCTGTCGACTCTTCAACCTCCATTTCATATTCTTCTTGTCTTTGATTATCATCTTCTTGTTCTTCATCACTATCTTCCTCTGGTAATATTGCAACAAGTTGTCCTTCAATTACTTTTACCTTCTTTTTTCTACCTTTTTTTAATTTTTTCTTTTCCTCTTGTACATTGGAGTCAGGATCATGCATTGCCATATGACGTATTAAATTACCTTTATGACTAAAACTTTTTGGACAATCAGGGCAATTATGAACTTTTGGCTTTGGTTCAGGTGCTACATAATTCACATTATGATAAAGGTTTATATGACGTTTAAGTAGTTGTTTTTGGCGAAATGACTGATCGCAATATTCACATTCAAAAGGTTTTTCATCTGTATGTATTAACTGATGCGCTTCTAAGTGCCTTTGTGACACTGAAGCGTAAGGACACACAGAACACTTATAACATTTTTCACCTTCATGAGTTTTTAAATGTACTTTATAAGTGTAACGGTCAGCAAAGAAATTGTTACATCTTTTACAGACAATAGGTTTGTCAGATGTGTGCAATTTTTGAACGTGTATTCTTAAATCTGTTTTTCGCCCACATGTTGTTGGGCATAGCTCACATTGAAAGACTGGTTTTTCTCCAACATTATGAATTAATTTATGAGCTTTAAGAGAATTAGATTGTGTGAATCTTGCATGACAGATATCACATTCATATGGCTTTTCTCCTGTATGTATTCTTAAATGTCTTTTTAATTTGAAAGTATCCGGAGACGCATACGTACAATGTGGACATTGAAATGGGCGTTCTCCTGTGTGACATCTGATATGTCTTTTCAGTTTACTTAATTCAACACTGGCATAATCACATTCTGTACATTTGTGTGGTTTCTCATGAGTGTGCCTATAACGTACATGTCTGACTAACTCTCCAGATGTTGTAAATGAACTTGAGCAATATTTACACGAATGCGGCTTATTCCCAGTGTGAGTATTAAGATGGTTAATTAAAGAAGCACTTGTTTTGAAACCTCTTTCACATACAGAACACTGTAAAACCAAATAATAAAATTTTTTGAAAAACAGGATATTTTTATTTATACTTACCCTATATGGTCTTTCATCTGAATGACTTTTCATATGACGTGCTAGAAGGTACCTTTTAGTTGAAGTATAAGTACAATAAGTACATGTGTGAACTGTTGATTGCTGCCCAGCAAATGAACTTTTTGCTCCAGTTGGCTTTTTTACTAACTTAATGTCATATGATTTTGGAGCATCTTTAGCTATAGTTTCATCACCATCTTCCACTTCTAATTCTTCCTGTTCATCAAACTCGTACAAAACTTCATCCTTTTGATCTTTTTTTTCATCGGACATTACAACTACATAACTGCTAAAATCTTTTTCACCTTTCTTTTTTGGTAAATCTTCCTTCTCTTTTATATTCTGTTCTTCTTCCAATATTTCATACTCTATTATGCCTTCATCATCATCCTCGATTAAACCTTCTGGCGGTTCTGTAGGTACAGGTTCCGAATCTTTAGTTGCTTGGAAGTAATAATTTCCAGCTTGATCTACAAAATAGGTTCCACCTTCTTCATCATCTTCGTCGTCATTTTCGTCATCATCTATCATTGTTCTGGAAGTCGTATCCGCCAAATCCAAATCATTCACTTCAACAAAGCTCAGCAATTCATTTTCTCGCTCTTCCTTTACTTTAATTTTTGACATTCCGAGGGTACATATAGATATTGATTAGTAGAGGTCAAATATCTAAAAAAGAAGTATAGACTTTAATTTTTTTTTTGCGAAAATTTATATTTCTTATATTTTAAAAAATTGTAAACAAATAATTAATTTATTTTCGCATAGAATTTCATTGCTAGGGGTCGCTCAATTCATAATATAACTATAGTTTGTTCGGAAATTTCTCACTGATAGGCGCTGGTAGCCATTTTTTATTTTATTTACGAAATACAATTCCCTTATATTTTTCCGATATTCTTGAATTCCTCGCAGTCATTGCATTTTAATTATTAGTTGAATGTCTTACCTGTCACAGTTCTTTATTTTGATTGAATTTATGATTTAAAAAAATTTAGATAAATTTTTGTACTGTCTTAATAAAATTTTCAAATTGATTTACTTTTTTTACCACCAACTCTAATTTATTGAAATAGCGCCGCGCAAAAATATTTAATAGCGAGAGATGGCGTCACTTGAATTATATACGTCAAAATAGAGATAATAAACCTTTTCCTATTTAATTCTTAAAATAAAAAATTATACTTTTTTGACATTTAATGTCACTACGAATGTCAATAGTTCAGGGTGCGTTTTTAAATTCATAAAAACTTTTAAGTTAGAAAGTTTTCGCAAAAAGGCAATATTTTGCACATTTACACATGTCAAATATTTATAAATACAGTTTAACATGTAAATACTTACACAAAATGTTTTCTATTATTTGTAAATTTTTCCTCTATGCTTGATAATAATAAGTAATTAACTATGTATCACTTATTTATATAAACGCCATATAAGTGATAAATAAAGAACCAAATAAACTTTCGGGCAGGTAAAATTTATTGACACATGACTTTATATGATGACTTGACATGATTACAAATCTAAATGACAATTCATAGAAAGATTTCACGTTTCTGTAAATTGAAAGCATTTTTCACTTTATTTGTTCTAATTCATATTTATTCTTAAAGTTTGACATTTTTTTTAAGTTCATGTATGTAGTTCAAAGCAGCTACAGGACGTTTGTGTTACTCTGCTTCAAAAATAACGCGTTGTAGTTCTGTAGAATTTGCAGCAAAATTATTAGAATTTTTATTGCACTGCAAAAAGTAATGCGTAGTTGTTTGTAGTTCTGCAACAATCTTATTATAACTTCCGTAGAGCTTACTTTTTGTTAACATATATACGGTTTAATAAGGTTTTGTATGGCTGTCAAAGCATTCAGAAAATAAAGTTATGGAATATTTCCAAAATCCTAAAGATGTAAGATCTAAAACTTCAAAATAAGGTACTACAATAACTCGAATAACTTTAGATTGCCAAAATCTTTGCTTTAGATTACCGGAAAAATTTGCTTTAACTTAAATAATTTACTTCTGACAGTATTTTCTATTTTGCTATTGAATTTTAATTAAAATTCAAGGTTTTTCAAAAGCAAATTTCAAATTTAAAAAAAAACGATGCATCGAAAGGGAAATTTTCTTTGTTAAATTTCGATTTTAAAATATTATCAGAAAAACTTGCATAAATTTAAATTTGGTTCAAAATTATTATTTTTATAGTTGAACTGAGTTCTCAGAATATCGAAATCATAACCAAAATCTAAATTTTAGTTTAGATGATGAACTGTAAAGAATATGAAATGTAAAGAAAACTGATTCAGTTCATTTTATACAACTCACTAACTCAGGTCTCAGATAGTTAGAGCTACTTATACTTGTATTCGACTCTAATTAAAACTACTTTTAGTTGAATCGTAGAATTGATTTGTTTCCGGGAATATGATTGTAAGAAATTATAATTATATGGTAACAGAGTAGAATTAAGCGTATTATATTAATTGTTCAAAATATTAAATTATTTTATTTTTGTTTAATTTACAGGATATCCATACTTTATTTCGTAAAATTATCACATAATGCAGTATCTTTTTTTTTGTGTTTTTTAAATGCGATATCTTTGTCCAATTATAGATATAAGAATATCCTTAACATTTTTCAAATAAATCTAGGTCCTATTGCATTAACCATTCTACATTAACCATTTGCAAAGTTTCTCTTACATCAAAAGATTCAAAATGCTCTAATGAATTATACTTATAAAAATAAGTACTTTTTTAAGTTTAAAAAGCAAATGTAAAAGTGGTTGATGCAATAGGGTCCAGACAGGATTTTGCTTTTTTTTTTTTCTTTAATTTATTATTTCATTTCACATTGTTATTTTTTTAATTTTTTTTTAAGTTGAACACAACATTTATCATTTAATAATAACATAAAAATTCTCCATGTATAAAGTTTTTATCAATTATTTTATAATGCTTTTGAATTTTTTTTTTTGTTCAAGTTTTCAGTATTTTTAAAGTATTTTTTCAATTTTTTTTTTTATTTTGTCTTCGATATGTTTAAAAACTAAAAGTATTTTTAATATTTTTATTTAAATTTTTATTTTATACATTTTTTGTATATTTTACTTATAAGAATGAAAAACAATTTCATAATTTAAATGCACATAATAACATTATAATAAAAAAAAAGAACACAAAAAAAGTTAGTTGATAATTAGATAATAAGTTACTAAAATTTAATTCTTTTATTTTAATTTTATCTTATTCCAATTCCACAATTGTTTTTTTTTTTTTAAAGAGAGACTATCTAAATTACATACATTTAATTTATTAGCTTTAGTTTTTAATAAATCTATAGCTTTTAATTAATATACTAATTTTTTGAAAAAACAAAACATTTTATAAATTACAAAAAAAAATTCACATTTAATATATTTAATTTTTGTTTTTTTTTTTCATTTGTTCAATATTTACATAATTTAGATATTTGTATAGTTAATAGATTTAATTTTTTTAACAAACTAAAGTTTAATTAAATACAAAGCATTTTCCATTTTTATTATATGGCTATTATGTATTTAGTATGTAAATTTTTCTTTTTATAGTTCGGTTCAAATTTTTGAACCGAATCGGTATTTTTCATGTGAATGATAATTTATACTTATATTATTATTTACTAAATTTATATATTATATTTTATGTATACTTATTAGTTTTAGTTTTATTTTTAATATTCGTCGTATATGTATAACAATTCCAACTGGTCTAACATTTCTATTACTTATATAATATGTACATATAATTTATCATAACATATATTATTTTTTCTGCTAAGTATAATTATATATTCTTTTTTTTTTAAATAATTTTCTCAAAATATCAAACATAAAATGCAAAAAACACATAATACATATTATGTATTATGTGAAAAATATAAAATAAAAATAATATGTATAAAATTAAATTTTGTAAAACAGTCTTAATTATTGTGCTAAATTTATATACATATATGTATGTATGTATTTTTTTTTTTCAATAATATTAGATTCTACTTCAGAATACATTTATTTAACAATTTTAATTTGATCGAAATTAATAATATTTAATAACATTTAATTTAAAATTTAACAAAATAAGAATAAATATAGTGCATAATTTAAAACATATATACTGTTAAATTTTCTTTAATTAATTTAGAATTAATAAAAAATTAATTGAAAAATCAAATATATATTTCTCTATAATTAATCATATTCGAAGCCGATAAATTTGAAAGCTAAATAAATAAATATATTATTATTATATTTTCTATATAGTTAATTTTTTATAATATACATACATAATATATTTTTCAAACTATTTAATTTTTTTTGTTTTATTTTTATTCAAATAGAAATTCTCATACATATAGCTATATTTGTTTTTTTTTATAGAAAAATTGTTAACTGATTGTCGATTATGTAATTATAGAAAAATAATTGATAATTGGTGGGATATATTATATAAATATAAATAGCTAATTATAATTATATAAATTTTCAATATTTTAATAATAATTTAATATTATATTAGCATTTAATAAATTGATTTAAAATTAAATATATTTATGCAATATTATAAGATGACATTTTTTTTTTAAATATTAAATATTTTGCATAAATAAATTTTAAATTTTAATTTATCGGCTACTTAACAATATAATAATACAAAAATTAATACAAAAACATTATAATTTACACATAATAATATTAATTCAATTTAAATTTAGCTTAAATTAAAAAAAAAGGTTTTTAACTATACATTTATTAATAGGACATAGCTAAATGGAAAATTTTATTGAAAATTTTTCAATTATCGTACATCAACTTTTATATTTTTCTAAGCATTGATTTTAATGGTTATTTGAACGGAATACATGTTTTTTTTTAATATATTCTAATTTAATTAGAATAATAACAAATATTATTTTCAATAAAATAATAGTTTTAAAATTAATTTATTAAAATTATTTACGTTCAACATATTAAATGTGTTACAAAGTTGATTCGTGTATTAAAGATGTTAATCATCCCCGTTAATAATTAGTTTTACAAGATGGAAAAAAGATTTTATGAAAATCATATATAAAAGCTATACGAGTATAACTTAGTAAAACAATTCCTTTATGTTACGTTAGTGTGATTAATAAACTTAAGATTTAGAAATTAAACAATTTTACGTCTTTAATTTTAAAAATTATTTTTGTAAGGTTAATATAATACAATAAAAACTATTGGTGTACATAATCCATAGGAAATATTCTAAGATAAGTTTAGAATCGTTAAATCAAACAATAACATATTCAAATATTTAAAGTACAATTAATTTAATTTATACATTATTTTAAATCAATTCCGAAATTCGAGTTTGTAACTTTTACTTTAGTTTATTTGTTTTGTTTTTTTTTTTTTCAAGTTATTGAAAAATAATCAATGCTTTAAATTTATTGTCAAAGTAAATATTTTATAAAAAGTTAAATAAATTTATAATATTCTGTAGTATTTCTCATAGTATGCAATTCAAATATATTAAAGTATATTAGTTTACTTATATATTTTTTAATAAATTTTTTTATTTTATTAATGAACTTTTCCTTTAAGAAGTTTTATAAGTATATTTGCGATTTCTTCACAGAAGCTCTGTTTGACATTATATGACTAAATGAAATTTAGTATTAATTTAAAAATGCATATTATATGATTTCGATTGAAGTTTATTAATTTGTGATTAATCTTATATAATTTTGTTGATTGTTAATTTTAGTACAGATGCATTACAATCTTGTATCAGAAATATTTTTTCAGAAATTAGTAAAGAAATCAGATTTTAAATTTTATTATTATAAAAAAAAATGATTATTGCAATGAAAATAAAATTAAACTAATATGTAATATATCGAATTCAATTTGTAATTAAGTACAAGATAAAAAATGTTTAAAGCTTTAATTTTTATAGTTATTATGCTATACAATTCATTATATAATTTTAAAATTAATTGTGCTATTTAGTAACATGTGAAGACATAAATATAAATTTTTCTACAAAATTAGATTTGGTTTATACAAAACTATAACAAAAAATCAAAGAAATAAAATACATATATATTATTGTACCTATGCATGTATATAAAATAAAAAATTATGCAAGTCGTTTAACAATTCATTTTACATAAGTAATCTAACCGCATATACATATATGGACTTGTGTTCATGTCCATTTTTTTTTTCTATTTTATTTTTTTCCTATATTAATTTTTGACTCTAAAATCTTAATTATAATATAGAAATTTTTTTCAAATATTCATTACATTATAATATCGCATTATTTATTATAATAACTTATATGTTGAGTAAATATTATATTTATGTATTAATATATTTATTATTTGATTTTAACGTTTAACACCAAACAAATTTGGGATTGATTTAATTTTCTTTCGAGAACAATTTAAATAATCTTTATACATATCCGACCGTAAATATCTTGAATAAGAATCACTTTTCATTAAATGATAGACATGTGATGCTGCTACATCAAAACACCATCGATTTGGACCATTTGGAGAATTTAATGCTTCACGTGCTAATTCAACTGATTTTGAATCAACATTAACTGGACATGGAGCATCTGGAGCTAAAAATTCTTGCCATATTTTATTGATTGCTTCTTTAATTTCTGATTGTGGTAATTTTTTCATATCTTGTACAGATTCCCAAAATCTAAAAAATATGAAAATTTATGAGAATATAATTTAACAAAAAAAAATTTATTTCAGAATATTATAAAAAAATTATTTACTTTAAATTTTCACCACTGTATTCTTTCTCTAAAAATTTAGCAAATTGTTCACGACCAATTGGATCATTAATTAATTCACGTAAACTAAATCCCCATCTTTTAACTCTTCGTAATGGAACTTCTTTCCTGTATTTGTAGGTAATGTGAAAAATAACAATTACAAATTATTTATATTTGAAAGTGTTTTTAATAAAATAATGTAAAAATATTTACGAAATTTTTTCAGCATCCCACATTTCAGCATTATCTGATTGCCATGGATTTGCTAATTCTGGCAAAGTTAAAAAGTAATCAAATTCACAATATTGCTCATAATACGAAACCAAAGATTCAGCTGCTTTTGATACTTTTATTGTCCGTCTTTCTAATTTATGTTTTCTTAATGCTATAATTCGATTAATTTGTTCAACTGGATTGTTAGCTAATGCAGCACCTGCTGAACCTGTACCATGACTAGAACCACCACGTCGATATGCTTTTTTAATATCAATTTCTGTTGTATTCACACAACCTGGCATCGGTCTATGTACATCCCAAAAAGCTCGCTCCTGTGAATCTAATACTTTTCTTTCAAGTTTATCACGTTTTTTAGCAACTTTACTTTGTGATTCAGCCTACAAAACATACATGCATACATAAATAATATTTTGATTAGAAAAATTTAATTTTAAAAGAAAAAAACTTACTTGCATAAATATAAATTCCCATTTTCTTGAAAACATTTTCTGTAATTTTGCTAAATTTTCTGCTTCATAATCAGCTAATTCAAGTCTAGTTTTATTTTGCATTGTTCGCTTACATAAATATACTGCATAATCAGTATTTTCTGGTTCCCAACAATTTGAAGGCCAAAAATAGGGAGTTTGAAATCTGTGAAAAGAAAATTTTGAATTAATATTTATTTTGATGTGTCTTTTATGAAATAAATCTCAATGAATTTAATGTATGTGTTTATACTGTAAGTGTATGAAAAGTAAGGTTTCATTTGACATAACGAACTATGTAGTTTTTAATAAAGTGTTTTTCAGACTAATTAAATCTATAACCACTGGTTCTTTTGTTTGTCTATTAATCATATATTATTTAAAGTTTTTAAATACTTTGTAAGCTGTTTGTAATAGCTATTACAAACTATAAAATCGTGCTCATAAACTTGCAGAAATTTAGAATTTAAATTAACTGGTTACAATCACTAAATATTTGCCGTTGTCTTTTACTTTAGTCTGACAAATTGTTAGTCTTAATCTTAAAGTTGTATAGTATTTTAGCAAAAAAACAATTTTGTCATTTTAACAATTTTGTTATATAACACGAACTTATCACTTGACATGTTAATAGATCTATTTTGACAATTATTACTGTTTATTTAAAATTAAATTAAATTTAGAGACATAAAATATTTTGCCGATTTATTTCTATTGAAATCGGTGATTCAGTAACGACTTGCGGCCTAATCGTTTATCTCACTTTTCTCAAATTTCATTTTTTTAATTTTTTTCTCAAATTTTCAACTGAACGTCTTCAACCTTCTAAAGCAAAGTGAATAAATTTTGCATACATTTTAGAAAAAAAAAACGAGATACGCAATAGATTATACAAATATAAAAATAGTTACTTACTTTCTTTTAACTTGGCGATTAAAATAGCAAGATAATCGATCAGGCCTTGAATGTCGACCATAAAAAAAAATGTGCACGATCACCAACCGATCAATTCTACGTTTTCAGTTCAAAAATAGCAAAAATGCGGTTGGCAATAATTTTACCTTTATATTTCAATTTGAACAAATTATTCGACATAATAAATTCGTTCGACAGAATAAGTTACAAGGCCGATCGCATGTTAATTTCTTCAATTTTTTTTTTAAATTTTCATTTTCCTTTATTTTTTTCACGTTTCCATGCATACACTGGCATTATACGAGTACTTAATTTTTCTTTATTTATGCATACACAAGTGTGAAGAACAATGTTTCTAATTTACCAGGCTTCTTCTTTCATCTCTTTAAAGTTTTAAAATTGAACTTTGTATTTGAAAATAATTTTTTCTTTTATTTTAAATTTTCCATTTCATTTTTTTATCACTTTCTAAAGTTTATTTATAAATCCTAAATGTTAAAAATGTATTTACTTCCTTTCGGTTTCTGTATATAATATAATTTTTCTTTTTTTTTTATAATACCAAAATGTATCCTTTAAAATAAAAGCAAATAAATGAAAATGTGAAAAAGATGGGGGAAAAAAACGCAATAATATTAAATGATGAAAAAAAACTCATTTGGAAAGGAAATAACGTAAATTAACCTCATTTTTTCTTCTCTTATATAATAACGGTATGTTATTGGTATTTTGTGCAATATTACCTATATTTTCGAACTAAAGAAACACACATATGCCAAGTTATTTTTAAGCTTTTTTTTTTATCATCAGTTATTTTGTAGCACATCATCAATTTGTTTTTTATCCTTTAATTTTGATATCAGTTTAAAAAATACATAGCTATTAGAGAGAATAACTTCTATAGATATTATAGTATATGTGTTTACATATGATACACAGATATAACGATATGTAGCTATCTAGTATTTTTTTCATTTTATTGGTTTTTTTTTATAATATGGTCGTAGATACATACAATTTTATGCTTTGATATCGATTGAAAAATTGAACCCTGTTGAGCAATATTTACATATTATTTATTCAAACTAATTTGCGTCCCTTAAATGTCTCGATTTATATATGTACACAGTTATGTTTGAATAAATAAATGCATATAAGCAAGAATAATATGTGCATATGTGCATGTAAACTAAAAAAAAATATATCATATAGATTCACTTGTTATGTATAGAAACCAGAAGAAGTAGGTACCTACATTATGTATTATATGGATGATGGAAATATACATAATTATTTTAATATGTATATACATATTTGAGTCTATATCTCAATCAATACCTTTGTATATATGGGAGAAACTATTAGAAATTTTTTTGTAAACTATATCATAATTTAAGGTCTGATTTCAAAATTTCTGAAAATGCAATTACAAATTCAGCAAATATAATTCATAAGCTAAACTACATATTAATACAGTATTATTGAATTAATTTAATTAATTTTGAAATCAAGAAATGTCTGATTGTAAAATTGCAGTAACAAAATATAAGCATTATTTGTTTATATTAAATATCACATACATACATATAAAAATATAAATATATTTTTAAAATATTAATTAAAGTACAAGTCAGACACACTGATTTCAAAATTGTAAAAAAAGATAAAGGGAACTTATCAATCCAGCAATTAAAATTCATTAGCTGAGTTATATAAGAGTATACAATTTTAATGCGATTTGCAAATCAAAGAAATTTTGCATAAAACTTATAATTTGTATTCTATTTTTGTATTTGCTTTTCTTACCTGTAAAATGTACCATCATTTTTTACAGTTAAAACATGATCATCAATTGGAAATATATAACCATGTGATGCAATTAAATGGGCAAAATGTAAAGCCTCCGTAACATCTTCGACATCGAAATGTTTTAATATCCATGAAATTAAATCAGCACCAGTAAATACAGTTGGTACTTTACTCATAAATGATTTAACAGTACGAACCGGTACACCGCTAGATTCAGCTTGCATTTTTTCAATTATAGATTCCATCTACATAAAAATACATATGTATATAACAATTTCAAAAAAATTAATATTAATAAAATTTATAATTTTGATAATAGCAATTTTTAAAAATTTAAATTAATGCTCTTGAATATAAAGTGAATAAAAAATATTCTAAAGCTTTGCTCTGCTTTGAATATATTTCCTATACGAGAATTATAGTATAATAATCCAGTCATAAGTCATCTATATTAATTATTAAATTAATAATTTGCTTAAAATAATTTTATTCAATTTGAAAAAAATTGTAAAAATTGCGTTACATGGTATTCTAAACTGTTAAAAACAAAATAAAACAAGTTTGACATCTAATCCTAATATCAAAGACATTTTATTAGATTTGGGGTTTGAATACAAAATATTTCGATTACTTATACTTACACCAGATACGGTTTTCAATTACATTTTATATATTACAGATTACATTATTCAAATTATAAATATTAATATACATATATTTAATTAAAATTAATTTTAAATTTCTTTAAATAATTTAACAAAAAGAAAATAAAATTTTTATGTATACTTTAATTTAATAAAAAGAAAAAAGGTCATAAGAGTTTGAAAACACTGCAATTCTAATATTTCTTATTTATATCACAACTTGTTAAATTATACATGTCATCTTGGATACAAAAAAGCAAAACAATAAAAAAGAAGTAGAATGGGAAACAATGAATACCTGTAAACATGAATTTCAAGCTCATAACAATTTCATATCCACAATGTTAGGTGCTTATAATAAAAAAGCAATATACGCAAAAGAAAAAAAATTAATTTGTAAAACAAAACAAGGATAAACTAAATAAAAAGCTTTTGTTATTCCTTAAATTATCGGTTCTGTACAGAAATCATCGCGATTATATTATATAATTTTTACTTTATATGTATTTGTATATGAATTGTATTTATTCATGAATTCAAATTGAATAGTTGAATAAAAAATCGTGATAAATTGTAATTTAGAATCACAGTTTTTATTTGAAATAAAAAAAAAATCTGAAAAATAATGATAAGTTAAAAATCTATTATGTATAAATATTCTTCTGTATTCATTGTAACTTTTACAATCTCGTATCATATCGTAACAAAACGGTTGTAAATAAGAAATTGTTAGTTTTTAGGAAATGAGAAAATTCATTTAAAATGTTTCGTATAAGTAATCGTAAAACCATAAACAAAAGCGGTGAACATAAACAGCTGACGAATTCTGTTGTTTATCCAAAACAACACGGGACGGTAAAATAATTTGTACGGTAACCACCAGCAAAAACTAAAAAAAAAACATACGAATTCGGGATATTTTACTGTCGGCGGTCAAATTAATTGTTTTATTCTGGACTATCCCATTTAAATTTGTGTATTCTATATAAATTCTGGCATATCGCTGCGGAAAATTGCTCTTTTTCTGTTTACAACGTAAATTATGTGTCAAACTTTTAATTAACACCTAACACAATGTTTATATTTAGAGCAAAATGTTACTTACGTTTAGATATTATACTACAAAAACTAAGAATTAATAGCCTGATAAAATGGTGTAAATATACCACTGTTTGACATAATATTTTGTCTGACAGCAAATAATAGAAACTACGCTATTAAGATCAAACTAACTGTTAGTTCTTTTAAAAATAAAATGGTTTAATACAATTAATTTTTTGCGAAAATTTAAAACAGGAATTAGCTGATTTTTATTTTATGGTTATAATTTTAGTAGCAAAATTATTTAATATTGAGGTAAAGCCTGAGCTCCATCAAATAATATATCAGTCTGATATGCAAATGGCCATCAAACTTTATTGCAGATTTAATTTTATATATTTTAAAATAATGTGTAAACGACACCTAAGAAATCAAGTTGTATACTTTATTTAATTCATTTAAGAGTGATTGAAAATTTAATAATTTTTTGATTTAGTTAACAGTATAACGAAGAGCTGTTACGGTATATGCGTAATGTCATATCACATTGCATGACAATGTGATATGACATTTTTTTAAAATAAATTTTATTATTGTTATTTAATTATCATAAATCCTTTACAATTTTTTTTTCTTTGTAAATCAGCCACTTTAATTTATATACCTATCTAAATTCTTTTTGAATTTTAAAACAAATTACTTTGTAAATTTCTCTGCTTAAGCTCTTAAAATGTCATGGTCTACTCTATATATTATTTGTACATAATTAATCTATGTAGGTATACCCCAGAAATTTTTATATAATTTATATAATAGTGGTTGAAATAGTTGAAAGTACACCTATAGAGCTATAGGTTATACTTTTATATTTTCTACATAATATAAAGGCATATAGAATTTATTTATAGAATTTATTGTAAGGAGTATTCAAAAAAAAAAAACAGGCAATATACTAATGCTTGTACATAACATACTTTATCTATATGCACATATATATATATATATATATATATATATATATATATATATATATATATATACACATATGTACACATATACTGAAAAATATATAATGAAAGGATATTTCCATTTAATTAATTACAGAGTAAATATGTAATATTTTACATACATCCATATATACGTTATACATGCATGTACAGTTTCCTTTATATTACTTTACATGATATATACAAAATATTAAGGATACTTATATATTAAATAGACTCTGTTTTAGTCAATGAAGCGGAGGAGTATAGCGGGTTGCAAAAAAACAAAAAACAAAAACAAAAAATGTAGAATTAAAAATCTATTAATTTAGTCTAGAATATTAATTATACCTATACTGTATTACAACAATTTTAACCCCTTTTTTGTTTTAGTACATTTAAACATGAAATGATTAAGTAATTGATTTGTTTTATGGTTGTATGCTAACATATATTTATTGGCCTATATATAATTCTAGTATATGATTAATTCTTGTAACAAATAAATACTCATACATTTTTTTTTTCGAAAAAACATTGTGCTTTCAAATGATTACAACGGATATGAATGGGTTAAATTATAGAAATTATAAATTATATATTATATTATCTATATATTATATATTAATTATTATTATATAGATAAATAATTTTAATAATTTAATTCTATATAAAAAAAATTTTTTTAATTATATATATTAATCACAAATTAATTACTTAGTGTATATATACCTTTTTATAAACTAAAATATTTGGGGCATCTTCATTTTTATTTTTTATTGAACTATGAGAATTTTGTAATTGTTGATGCTGTTGTTGCTGTTGATTTGATACCGTTGTCGATGATGAGGTAGAAATTGTTTTATTATTAATTGTTGACGGTGTTATAATTGTTGTTGAAATTGTTGTTATTGTTGTTGTTGCTGCTGCTGTTATTGTTGTTGATGGTACTGTTGTTATAATATTACCGATTGAATTTAATTTATCTTCTGAAGTCATTGTTACCATTTTTATATTATATATATATATTAAATATATATTAAAATTTAAAATTATTTTGAAATGTTGAATTATTTTATATATATGTGATTTTGTTTTATAACACTTTAAAATTCGAAAACACCAAAAATAATTGAAGAAAAAAAAAACAGAAACATGAATAAATTCAATGAAAATACAAAATTTTATTGTTATACAATAAGAGGATTAAATATTTTTCTTTTGTTTGTTGTAATTGTTTGCTGTAACTTTTTTTTTTATTTTTTATGTAAATTATATAAACATAATGTGTATATATAGTAGCGTTGTATATACATATAACAATATGCAGTCAATTCTTTTTTTTTTTATTAATTCGCCTATTTCTCAATTCCTCGAAAAAATAAAATTATTTTTTCTTCATTTACATACACTGGATTTGTTTTTTTTGTTTTCTTTAAATCCCATACATTTTTTACTTATTATTATAAATATTTTTTTTATTAAAATAAAAAGTAGAAGGGCTAGTTCCTTTTTTTAATTTTATTAAATAATAATTGAAAAATTTTTGTATAACAATATAAATTCATTTATTTTCAAAAAAGGAAAAATTTTTATTAATTCTCAATTCTCACTACAGATGTTTTTAATTGCTTTCACTTTTTTTTTTTATTTTATTTTATTTTATTATTATATACACATTCTCATACATCATATATATATTTATATATATTATATTTCTAGTTTTTATTTCTAAAATTTCGCTATTATTGATTTTTTTTTTATTATTATCATTTATTTAATTCAATTTTAATATTTTAATTTTTCAATTATAATATCAAAAAAGAGAAAATTCCATAACGAGTTCATACTTTATTTTCTTATGTAAAAAAAAGCAAAAAAAAAAAAAAAGAACGTGTAAAGAACATAAAAAAAAAAGGATACACAGGATATACAAAATCGGAATTTTTTTATTTTATTTTTTTCTCCTAACTGTACATATACACATACATGTGTATTTGCTCGCGTTTAATACGTAAATGTTATCCTTTGAATGTTCCGATCGAAAATGAAATAAAATGGAAATATAAAAGCTTTTTTTTTTTGGTTTTTTTTTTTTTTGTATATTAAAATGAATCGATTTTTTTACAGTTTCTTATTTTGTTTTTTCGTTTTTGGAACATGCGTCCTTTTAGGATTTTAAAATTCATATATGATATTCGTATATATTTTTTTGTTTGCACCTACCCAAAGTTAAATAATTTTGTGCTTGCCTAAGAAAAGGTTTTGAATTGTCAAAAAAGGATGTTGAACTTAAATATAAAAAAGTCTTCATTGCTTTTTGCTATTTTTTTGTTTTTGTAATTTATTTCCTATTTTTTTTCTAAGTTTGTTTTTCTTTCCATGATTTTTTTTTAATGATTTTGTGCATAGGATTACGAGTATCAGGTAGCGTATATATAGGAAATTTTATGCTTTGTATTTTAATAATTTTATTTATTAAAAAATTTTTTTTTTTAATATTTTAAATTTTTTCAAAATAAGTTTTGTAATTTTTCACATAATATGCAAAACACATCACAATTTAAAATTCTAGTTTCAGAATTAAAATAGTTGCAAAGGAGTCATGAGTGGGATGGGGCAGGGGGAGGGGGCGGGGTGGTATGGGGGTAGCGACCGCGCAACTATACCCGTATTCAATGAATTTTAATGTAAACACATTATAGTAATAATATTTTTGTTTTCTTAAAATAATTTTTAATTTCTTTATTTTTATTTACTTTATTTATATTTATTTAGATAAATGTAATTTGAAAAAAACAAAATTTAAAGTAATAAAATTTTATTTTAAATATTTTTTTGATATATAAATTTTATTGTTTTTCAAAAATAATTTTTGTAAATATTTTAACTACATATAAACAAATAATATAGTGTTTTATACATAAGTGTTTGTTAGGGAAAATTAATGAATTTTATGTAATATGGATTTGTAGTTTTATATATACATATACATATATATATATATAGTGTATAGTTGCTTTTGTTTTAATAAATAGATACAATTTAAAAAGATTTTAACAACAACCACTTGTTGAATATATTATATTTAGTGATATAATATAGTGAATGAAAATTTTTATTTATTATAAGAGTAGTTTCGTCTAAGCTTATAGTTATGGTTTATGGTTGCAATTCTAAATTGTGTACATACTTACATACATCTATGTTAATTTGTTTAGAATAATATAGAACCTTATTTTTAATATAAAAAAAATTTATTTAAAAGGTACTCGTACTCATAGTTTTTTCAAAGACAAATGACTTGTGGTCTTAAAAATTTTTGTAATTTTTTGTAATAATGTTATAATATTATATTGAAAATCTCAATAGTATTGTTGAATAACATTATTATTATCCTTAATATTCAACGACTAAGTTACATAAACAAATAAGTGAAGATTTTACAAATAATAAATCCTCTAAAATTTTACTACAACCTTTGCCAGGAGAGTATATACATTCTATAAATCCTATTATCAAAAATTTAACGTTATCAAATGATCACACTTTATTTAATAGCTGTTTTCTATTTTTTTTTAAGGGAACCGAGTGGGACAGGAGTAACCCCCCGGCAACCATTCTTGACTTATTGTAAACTAGTTTCCTATACTCTTACCCTATAATTTTTTAAACTCTAAAAAATTTGTATTCTTGTAAATTTGTAAGATTATGGAAATTTTTATTGGTATTATAGATATTCTAATTTAAGTTTTAGAGTATAGTACTAATGTAGTTGTAATGGTTGTTATGTTTTATAAAATTTTAAGATTAGAAATTTAATGTAATATCAATATGAAAATCAATACGTATACGGATATTCAAAAAGAACAACATTTCGTACAAGTATGTGTAAATCATTTACATACATTATAATATATACTATCCTCTTAACCGATAAATAAAATTGTGAACAAAATTATGTTTTCTTAAATATCTTATAAAGGAAACAATCATAAATGCAATACATATATCACATGTAATATTTGTCTTCTTCTAATGATAAGTATAATGGAGGATTTTTGTGTATAATCCATATAACGAAGAGTTATTTTCGTTAAATAGCGAATGCAGTAGATTGTAGATTGTAGATTCTAAGGGAACTGAGTGGGGACAGGAGCATCCCCCCAAGCCACCGCAGCCATTTTTGACTTATTGTAGCCACCCCACTCTCCCGTCTATAATATCCCCGTCCCAATCACAAAGCCGGAGATATCCCTAAGGGAGTTGGACAATAGTTCCCGAACACTTAGGGACCCATGTCCAAGACAATTGCGGCGCCGAACAGCCAGTGCCGGACAGTCGCAGAGAATGTGCACGGCGGTCTCATCGCCACCCCCACAAAATCTGCACAGGGGGGAGCCCGACTTCCCCAGCCTGTGCAGGTGGTATTTCACCGGGCAGTGCCCCGTGAAGAAATTCGCAATAGTGCGAACCCGGCTCCTGCTCATCCCCAGCAACTCCGCAGCGAATCCGCCGGAGCACGCCGGAACAAACACCTTCGCATGACGGCACCCTTTCGTGTCCCGCCAGTGACGACTGCATTCCGCCGCGAGTAGGCAGGCAAGCCTGGCCCCCACGGCGGAAGAAGGCAGACCACAGAAAGGCAGCGGCTGCACAAAGGCAGCCCCAGATCCCCTCCGTGCCAACTCATCGGCAACTTCGTTGCCCGCATGGCCACTATGGCCCGGCACCCAAATGAGCATCACTCTGTTTTCCGATGCCAATTCCATAAGTGCAGCAAGGCAGCTCCAGACCAGCTTGGATGTAACCTGAGCTGAACGGAGCGCCAGCAGTGCAGCCCTGCTGTCTGAGAACACATAGATGGTGCGGTTTCTATACCCCCTTTCCAAATTGATTCTCAGACAGATCTCTATTGCATGTATTTCGGCCTGGAACACTGTGCAATACGGGTCAAGGGTTGCATATACACGCGTGTCTGGGCGGACACCGTATACGCCCGAGCCCACACCCGACTCCGTTTTGGATCCGTCCGCATACCACACGCTCGAACCCGACCTAAGTACCGGACCACCCCGATCCCACGTCCATCGATCAGGAAACAGAACCCTGTACTTGTGGTCGAAGTTGTACCGCGGCAGACAGGTATCTGACATGGTTATCCTTAGAATCGGATCGCCCTCAATGAAGTCTCTGTGAGTTCTGTGGGCCAACTTTAGCCCTGCCCCGTCCTCGCCAGAGAGAAGTCGGTAAGTCACCAGCCGAGCTTCCTTCAATATATGGAGGTGCAGTGGTGGCAATCCGATCATCACCTCCAATGCAGCGGTGGGAGCCGTCCGCATCGCCCCGGTCACTCCCAGGCAGGCCAGCCTCTGTAGCTTTTCTAGCTTGGCCCGCACACCCGCCTGCTGAGCTTTACGGCACCATACATTCGACGCATAGGTGACGATGGGCCTAGCAAGGGCCGTATATAGCCACAGTGCTATTCTGGGACTAATTCCCCAGGTCCCCCCGATGAAGCTCCTACACGTCCACAAGGCCGCCGTAGCTCTCCCGATAACTCTATCGATATGGGTATTCCAAGAGAGACGATCATCCAGGGTTACCCCCAGATACTTCACCTCCCTCGAGTAACTAATACGTTCACCAAACAGAATTGGGCTCGTTAATCTGTCCCTGCTTCTGCGTCTGGTGAAGGCGACCAAAGTGCTCTTGCTTGGATTTATATTTAACTCAACGCCTTTGCACCACCTTTCCACAACACGTAAATTTTGCTGTAGAAGATCAGAAATAGTGCTCTCAAATTTTCCCCGCACGACGAAGGCCACATCGTCAGCGTATCCCCAGACACGCGCCCCGGAGCCCCTGAGAGCAGCTATTAGATCATCCACTACAATGGACCACAGGAGGGGCGAAAGAACCCCGCCCTGCGGACATCCTTTTGCAGCGGAGATGAAGAGTATATCGTCAGCTATGGTGGACTTAATAATCCTATCCTGTAGCATCCGATTGACCCATCTGCTAGTCGTCGCATCAATCCCTCGTTTGTGCAACGACTCACAGATGACATGATATGGGGTGTTGTCAAAAGCTCCCTCTATATCAAGGAAGCAGCCAACTGCTACCTCCCGCACTTCCAGTGAGTTTTCAAGGACCCCCACCAGACTCTGCAGAGCGAGTACAGTAGACCTTCCCGACTGATAGGCGTATTGAGATTCATGCAAGGGATTGCTTCCCAGTGCACCGTCCCGTATAAATCTATCAATCACTTTTTCCATTGCTTTCAATAGAAAAGAAGTAAGGCTGATTGGACGGAAAGACCTTGGGTGGTTGCTTGGTCGCTTACCCACCTTCGGAATATACGTCACTTTAGCCACCCTCCATGCCTGAGGGATGTAACCCCACGCATAGCTGGCGCGAAAAATTCCCAACAGTGCTCTAGCGATATGTTGGAAACCCCTCTGCAAAAATGCAGGATATATCCCGTCATCACCTGGAGATTTGAAGGGCCTGAAAGAGAAAACAGCCCATCTAATCCTGCCCATCGTGAAGACTAGACGGGATCGTTGCCAGTCATCCCTCCTGGGCCAGGGTGCCCCCGGTTCGATGACTGCATTTGAGTGATTCCGAAGAATCTCCGAGTCAGGAAAGTGCGTTGACGCCATAAGCTCCAACGTCTGCCTTCCGTTCTCAGTCATGGAGCCATCAGGACGTTCCATTAGGCCCAACCTACTAGCATACTTTTTGGAAAGCACCCTGTGAAGACGCGCACTGCTGGGGAGTTCATCAATGCCCTTGCAGAACGCCCTCCACGAGATTCTCTTCGCTTTCCTAATTTCTTTATTGTATTTTGTGAGTGAGTCCTTATACTCTTCCCACGAACCTGACGCTTTGGCCCTATTGAATAGCTTCCTGGTCTTTAGTCTAAGCCTTGAAAGCTCCTCATTCCACCACGGGCACTTCCTATTGCTCCGCCTCGGCTTAGCACGGCAGCTCCCGTGATAGGCACTAGTAATAGCCGCCGTCAGGGCCTCGCTGGCCAGTTCGATATCCATCACCGTTCTGACAGAAGCAGGAACGGATCTAATCCCATCCATGAGGAGCGTTTCGAATTGACTCCAATCTGTGGATTGGGGCACCCGATATATTTCTTCTGCCAGGCCCCCGGAGACCATGATATCAAACCTAATCTGCCTATGATCGGACATGGATGTCTCATTTGAGACATGCCATCCACCAACCCTACTGCCGATAAATTCAGTGCAAAGGGTGATGTCAAGGACCTCTTCCCTAATTGCATTTATGAATGTCGGCCTATTGCCTTCATTCATAATCATTAATTTATTGCTATATATAAATTCAAGTAGGCACTCACCTCTTTTGTTTATATTGCTGCTTCCCCAGACGGTGTGGTGGGCATTGGCATCACTTCCTATTATAAGTTGGAAGTTCCTCCTTCCACAAAAGTCCACTAGATCCTTCAGTTGCTCGTCCGGGTGGGCACAGTCCCCCGGGAGGTAGGATGAGCAAACAATGAACTCTGTCCAGCCCCCGCAGGACTTCACCTTCACCAACGCAGCTACCTGATCCTTAGAACAGTAATCTGGAATGGGAAAATACGTTAGCTTTTTACTAAACAAGATGCAAGCCCTAGGCCTGCCCCCAGTTGTATTATCATACAATAGCTCACCTGTTAGGCCCTTAACCTGATCCTTCACTATGTAAGGCTCTTGGATAAGGGCGATATCGAGGTGATCCTTCATAAATCTATGAGCCAGAAC